TCTCCCAACACCAGTCACTGAAGAGACTGTCCTTTCCCGATTGGATGTTCTTGCCTCCTTTGTCGTAGATTAATAGACATTGTCTGTATGAGACGTGGGTTTATTTCTGGGCTCTCTGTTCTGTTGATCGATGTGTCTGTTTTTATGCCAGGGCCATGCTGTTTTGACAACTCTAGCCTTGCAGCATAGTTTGATATTGGGGAGCCTGATACCTCTGACTCTGTTCTTCTTCAAGATTGCTTTTGCTGTTCCGGGTCTTTTGTGGTTCCATGTAAATTTTATGATTATTTGTTTCAGTTCTGTGGAAAATGCCATTGGTGTTTCGGCAGGGATTGCATGGACTCTGTAGCTCGCTCTGGGTATTATAGCCATTTTAACAATGTCTCTGCTTCCGTTTGTTCGTATCTCCTTCACTTCCTTTTTCCAGTGTCTTTTAGTTTCCTGAGTACGAGTCTTTCTCTTCTCTAGTTAAGTTTGTTTCTTAGTATTTGCTCCTTCGGGCACAACTGTAAATGGGGTTGTTGTCTTGATTTCTCCTGGTCATTCGTTGGCGGTGTGTAGGGTGCACCCGAGTTCTGTGTATTGACTATGTCCTGACACTTGACTGAGGTCAGTTTTCAGTTCTAGTATTTCGGGGCGGGGGGGGTCTTTCGTGGGTTGTTTCTCCCACCCCGACCACCGCTCTGACCTGAACCTGCTCACGCCCACTGCATGCTGCTCCCGGACGCGCCGCAGAGGGAATGCCAGATCAGCTGTGCACCGGACGCGCTGGCCGCCGGGTCCCCCAGACAGACGACGGTCAGCGTCAGCTTTCTCCTACCAGAGTGAGTGTCACGCGAGAGCAGGCAGGTGGGTGGGGTCCGGTGGGCGCTCTGGTCAGAGCTGGGGTGGGTGGGTGGGGTTCAGGGCTCTAGGGAGTTTTATCATCCGGGGCGGTTTTGGAGGAAGTCGTGTTGGGTCGCTGTCCGGAGGAGAAGTACGTTGCTCGTTCACAGGCTCCAAATGGCAGCGGGTACCGTTTGGGGTCACGGGGAGCCCTGACTGTGAGGTCCTGACCCCTGAGGGAAGAATGTCATCAGGCTGTCGGCCCTCGGCGGCGGCATGCCTCACCGGATGCCCCCTCCGTGCGAGTCTCCTGTCTGCTGGGCAGACTCAAAGTCACATGGCAGGGTGCTCGGCACCCTTCCCACCACCTCCCTTGCCGTGCCCTAAACTGACTTGCAGTTGGCAACACCCCAGTGTGTCCGCACTGCAGTCAGGGGCACAGGCACGCTCTTGCCCACGTGCCTGCCAAAGTCGGGGTGAAGTGCACGCATTTCTGGGAGAACCTCGCTCCTTCGGGAGCGCGTGTCAGTGCAGCAGTGAGTTTCGCGACCTCTCTCTCCTCCCCCGGCCCCTAAATGAAGCATCACCGACACGTCGGAAGCCTTCACCTTGAACCTGCTGTCGTCGCTCTTGGTCAGCGGGCCCAGCGCCCCGTTCTACAAGGCCTTGATCGAGTCTGGACTAGGCTCGGATTTCTCTCCTGACGTCGGGTGAGTGTGTCATCCGATCGCACCAGCAGGTCACCGCTGGGCGCGGTTTTGACATTCGGCAGTGTCCGGACACATTCCTGGCTGTCACGGGAGGGGGTACTGGCATCTGGGGGCCCTTCCCACGCCAGCACGGAGCTGTGCGGTAGAGTGTGGCTTCCGCACAGGCTACTCGGGTCCCCTGCAGGGCGTGGGGTGGGGGGAGGGGGATTTAGAAAACGAACGAGAAGGCTCTTCCAAGATCTGCTGAGCATGCGGGTGCCTGTTTGAAAAGCCAGGTCATCAGGTGGTCTTTGAAATCTCAAGATTCTGTGAAAGTGCACCCCCCCCCACCCCCGTTCACTTCACTGCAGCTCTAGAGTTCGCGTAGGGTGATGTCCAGGCAGGTTAAAGAGCGTGGTGCCCGCTCGCGCTGTGTCTGAGCAGCGGGCATCCGAGGACGCCGCGCTCACGGCCTTGTGGCGGGTGGTCGTGTCCTCAGCCCCGTCCTGTGGCGTGTCTGACCTTCACCTGAAGCGCTCGGTGAGCGCGTGGCAGGAGCCGGCCGGCTCCACAGGTGACCTTCTTCTGTGTCCCAGGTACAACGGCCATACCAGGGACGCCTACTTCAGCGTGGGTCTGCAGGGCGTCGCCGAGACCGACGTGCCCAGGGTCCGGGACATCATCAACAGGACGCTGGACGACGTCATCGCGTACGTGTGGCTCTGCGCGTCCCCCAGCCTCCCCGCGGCGCCCTCTGTGATGAGCATGTGCTGTCGCGTGTAGCGGCGCAGGACGGTCCCTGCCACCTTGTTGCTGGGGCACCGCAGTCCTTGTTGCTAAGCAGCGCGGCTCCCGCATCCCCCGCCCGCGGGGAGGGGAGCGCGCAGGACGCTGGCGCGCAGGTGTCTGTGCAGACGCGCTTCGTCCCCGCCGGGGCGGGCGTCCTGGTCCTTGGAGGAGCTCGCAGCCGGTGCTAGTCATCAAGCCCCTGACCCCTGCGGCCCTGGCCCTGCAGCTTCCTGCGCATCGTTGCGATGTCCTGATTGAGATGTTGAGCATCTCGTGTGCTTACTGGCCTGGCCACTGTGTATCTTGGGAGAAACGTATAGTCACATTTTCAGTCGGCTTTTTAATTGGATTACGTGGCTTTTTTCTTGTAGGGTTATAAAAGTTATTTGAACATTCTAGATCCAAGGCCCTCAATAGATATATGATTTGTGAATATTTTCTCTCACATGGCTTGTTTTTTCACTTTCTTGATTGTGTCTTTTGAAGAACAAAAGATTTTACTTTTGATGTTCTTAAATTTACCTGTTTTTTTTCTCTTTGTTCCTTGTGCTTTTGGTAGCGCTTAAAACCATTGCCTAACACAAGGTTACAAAGTTTTACTATTTTTTATCTGAGGATTTTGTGGTCCCTTTTATTAAATTTATTGGCGTGACGTTGGTTAATAACATTATGTACATTGCATCGTGTGCTCACCACCCAGTCTATCCTTCTCCACCCCGGATTTGACCCCCTCGACCCTTATCTGCCCCCTGCCCCCTTCCCCTCCGGCCACCACCGCACTGTGTCTGAGTTCGTTCGTGTGTTGCTTTTTGTTTTCTTGCCCACGTGTGAATGACGTCATGTGGTTCTCGTCCTCTCCCTGAATCAGCACGGTTATCTCAAGGTCCATCCATAGTGTTGCAAGTGGCAGGGTTTCACCTTTCCTATGGCTGAGTAATATCCCGTTGTACACATGTGCCACCCCTTTATCCAGTCTTGCGTCGAGGGACACGTCCTGGCCACCGTGAGTCATGCCGCAGCGAACGTCAGAGTGCATGTATGTTTATGGACAAATGCGTTCACATTTTTTGGATAGATCCCCAGAAGAGAGATTTCTGGTTCGTGTTGTAATTCTATTCTTAATTTTTTGAGGACCCTCCACACTGTTTTCCACAGTGGCTGCACCAGCTTACACGGTTCTTAGCAGCAGTGTGTGACGGTTCCCTTTTCCCACGTCCTTGCCAACAGTTGCTGTGTCTTGTCTTTGTGATGCTGGCCACTCTGACAGGTGTGAGGTGGTATCTCGTGGTTTTGATTTGTGTTTCCCTGGTGAGTAGTGATATTGAGCATCTTTTCATATATTTGTTGGCCATCCATATGTCTCCTTAGAAGTGTCTGTCCAGGTTCTCTGCCCATTTTTTAATGGGAGCGTTTGTTTGTTGTTGAGTGGGCTATCAGCCCCTTGTATTGGAGGTGTCGTTCGCAAGCACCTTCTCCCATTCGGGTGGCCGCCTCTTTGCCTTGTTGGGAGTTTCTTTGGCTGTGCAGAAGCTTTTTAGTTTGATGATAATCCTGTTTATTTTTGCTTTTACTTCCCTTGCCTTTGAGGTCAAATCCATAAAATCCTTTGTTAAGACCAAGGTCCATAAGTTGGTGCCTCTGTTTTCTTCTGTGTTTCGTCGTTTCCGGTCTTACATTTACGTCTTTGATCCATTCGAGTTAGTTTCGGCGTATGATAGACAGCCGTCTGATTTCTTATGTGGCTCTTCGGTTTTCCCAGCACCTTAACGAAGAGCCTTTTCTTCATTGTATTTTTTGGAACCTTTGTCAAAAGTCAGTTGCCCACATGCATGGGGGTTTTTTTCTGGGCTCCCATTCCTGTCTCATTGGTCCATGTGTCTGTTTTTCTGCCAATACCATGCTGTTTTTATGACTGTAGCTTTGTAGTACGGAAAAACCTTTATTTCCTTCAACATCTCTGTTCTCAATATTTTTTTAGGAAAGGATTTGAAGTTGATCAAATTGAAGCTTTACTTCATAAAATCGAAATACAAATGAAGCATCAATCTGTCAGCTTTGGACTCGCCCTGACGTCTGTGTGTAACTTCTCACCCACCCCACTGCTTTCTGTTGTTACTTTCGTGATTAATGGTTTCTCGAAAACATAGATGATAATTCATAGCACCTTTCATTTGAACCTTGAAAGTTATGTCATTTTGTATCTGATATAAATTTACTTTTAATTTTGTTTAGACCAATTGGCTTTTTGATAGCTTGTGTTATGTAAAATAGATTTATGCAGAACACTTTAAGCGGGTGGGATATATGATAACTGTCGATCTGTGGGTAATTACAATTTAAACTTAAGCTTTTTTATTAGGAAAAATAGGTTTAAATGAGTTCAATTTTTCTGCTAATTGAAGGATGATTTAATTTTTGTTAGAGTTACCTGGTATTTTTAAGTCTAGACATGGAGATCTTAGTAAAATGCAACGACTTTGATGTTTATCGCTAATGGAGCCTTGCCATGCGATGTGCTTTATGGATTTAAATTCCATCGCAGTACATCGCATCCTGCTGGAACCATGACGGGGACCCTGTAGAGCTGCTGAAGCTGGGGGGGCAGGTGGCACAGTTCAGGCGCCGGCTTGAGGAGAATCCAGAGTTTCTGCAAGAAAAAGTGAAACAATATTTTAAGGTAAGAAAATTGGAGAATTTAGGTTTGCACCTTTGAAGTTGAATTTCATAATAATGAAAAGAGTATTAGGAATATAATTTACATTATCTAAGTCAATTCTGTTAATGAATAGGTGACATAATTTCTTAATTAAAAATATAAATGCTCATATTAACATAAAACTTCAATTTTCTAGATCAGATGTGTGACTGTGTGTGTTACCGAACATCTACATATATTTTTGTCCTAGTTAACAGAATACGAAAACCAGTCACCTGCGCGTGTGCATATTCTGGTTTTGCGAAGGACCTTTTTGTCATGCCCTTGTTTGCATAAGTTTCTGGGCATTTGTACTTGGCGTGTGTGCCCTTGTCGAAGCCGTGGGCGAGAACTTCTTAGAAGACCTGGCCATGGCCGGGTGGGCCGGGGGGGAGGTGGCATGTGTCATACTCGGTGCCCTTGTTTTGGACGTGGGTGTGATTCAGTCATTCACTTGCCGTCTAAGTTATTTTGCATAAAGTTTTTGTTGTACTAATTCTCCCTCTCCTCTGTATTCCACATGAGCATTTTGTGAGTGTTTTTAGTTGTTGAAATATATTAGGGAAGCAATTAAGTCACCTAATGTTTGTCATTATATTAAGTCGACATCTGTTCTGCGTAGTTACTGCGCAGCAGGCGGTACACATGAATGCCATGTGGCTCACGTGCTTTCTGCTACACCGCCTTCACGGCGCCCTCTGTTGTCACCGCTGAGCACATCGGAAGGGGGCGCTCAGCGCCAGGGGCAGTAGCGGAGGCCGGTTCGGTGTGTCGGCTTTCGCAGAGGCTTATTGTGACGTGGGCTTTTTGTCACTGTGCTGGTTGCAGAACAATCAGCATAAGCTGACTCTGTCGATGAGACCCGATGACCAGTACTCCGCGAAGCAGATGCGGCTGGAGACGGAGAAGCTGAGGCAGAAGGTCAGCTCGCTGTCCTCGGAGGACAGGCGGCAGGTCTATGAGAAAGGTGAGTGCGTCCCCGCCCGGTGGCCCGCCTGTTCGCCCACCTGTCTCTGCCCCCAGACGTCTGCTGGGCCGTCACGTGAGAGCCAGTGCACGGGCCTGGCCAACGGGCTCTGCGTGCACTTGTGTGCGCGTGTGCGTGTGTGTGCGCGTGTGATCGCAGTGTGTCTGACGCTGGTCTCCAGTGTGCAGCACAGGGGACGTCCCGCACGGGAAGCCTAGTTAACATCTGTCACCATGGTCACCGGTCTTTTCTGTCACTGAGGACTTTTAGGGTTTACTCTCTGTGACTTTCGAGTGCGCAGCACAGCGCCGTCACCTGGTGGTGGCGAGTCTGCGTTTTCCGCCTCCGGCCCGGGGTCTGCTCCCAGGGCTTGGCTTCCTGTTTGTTTCTGAGTTCAGGATCCACACGCAAGCGAGGGCACGTGGTGCCAGTTCTTCCCAAACTTCCCTCACTTAGCACGATGCCCTCTAGGTCGATCCGTGTTGTCACAAATGGAAGAATTTCGATTTTTTTAATGAATGATTGATGTTCCATCGTGTAATGTACTACATTTTCTTTAACAATTTTTTGATTTTTAAAATTCGTTTTTCAGTCATAGTTGACATACAGTATTAGTTTCGGGTGCACAGCGCAGTGGCTAGATGTCTGCGGCCCTTGCAGAGGGACCCCCGCTAAGTCTGGTCCCCCCGCACCGCACCCCGCTGTCACTGTGTCGTACGTCACGCGCCGTGGCCGTCTTCGTAACCGGCCATTCGTACATCTCACTCCTCCTGCTTCTTGTCTCAGCTCCCAGACCCACTTCTCATCTGCCGGCCATCAGACATCCTCTATATCCATGGGTTTATTTCTGGGTTTTCTTGTTCATTTATTTTGTTTTTTACATTCCACGTATAAGTGAAATCATGGCACGTGTCTTTCTCTGACTTACATTACTTAGCTCAATACTGTCTTGGTCCATCCATGTTGTCACCAGTGGCAGGATCTCATGCTCTTTATGGCCGAGTGACACCCCACTGTGTGTACGCCCCGCTCGTTTACCCCGCCGTCTGTGGACAGGCCCTTAGGCGCTTCTGTGTCTGGGCTGCTGTGAGCAGGGCTGCAGTGGACACAGGGGTGTGTATGTCTTTTCAAACTAATGTTTTGGTTTTCGTCAGGTACATACCCAGAAGTAGAATTGCTGGGTCATACTGTAGTTCAATTTCTAATTTTCTGAGGAACCTCCACACTGTTTTCCATAGTTTCTGCACCGATGTGCAATCCTTCCAGCAAGGCACAAGGGCTCCCTTCTCTCCATGGCCTTGACAGCGCTTGCTGTTCTTTGATTTATTGATGATGGCCATTCTGACAGGTGTGAGGTCATATCTCATTGTGGTTTAATTTGCATGTCCCTGCTGATCAGTGACCTTGAGCCTTGTTTTATGTGTCTGTTGGCCATCTGTATTTCTTCTTTAGAGAAATGTCTATCCCATGCCTGTTTTTGAATAGGATTGTTTGTTTATCTGGTGGTGGCGTATGAGTTCTTCATTCGTTTTGGATGTTAACCCCTTATCGGATATATCATGGGCAATTATCTTCTCCCATTCAGCAGATTGTCTTTTCGTTTTGGTGATACCTTCCTTCACAGTAAAAACCGACAAAACCTTGGTTAGATGTAGTTCTATTTGATGATTCTTTTATTTCTCTTGCCTAAGGAGACATATTCAAAAAACATTAAGAGCGATGTCAAAGAGTCACTGCCTATGTCTTCTGTGCTTTGGGGTCTTTTTAAGGACTTTCTCCATCGTGTGTGTGTGTGTGTGTGTGTGTGTGTGTAGTGTAAG